CCGTCCCCTTCCCTTGAAGCTCTTGTCCCCGTCCCCTTCCCTTGAAGCTCTTGTCCTTACTCCCCGAAGCCACCCCTTTACGGCTTTCTGCCCCAAGGGCCTTCGAACCAAAGTCTAGGACATTGTCAGGTGGGTAGTTACCGTTATAGGAGCCTTATAGAAGATCTATATAATCTATATACCTTATGGAAGCCTTATAGAAGCCCTATATACCCGAAACTCCCCATCTAACCCTAAACCCAAAACCCTAAAACCCTAAACCCTATATACCCGAAACTCCCCATCTGTCGTTTCCTAAAGCCCAAGAAAGGCTCAAAGACCGGCTGCTGATGCGAACCCTAAACCCTGATTGTTGTTTAAACCCTAAACCCCTAAGCCCTGAACCTTAAACCCTAAACCCTGAACCCTAAACCCTAAACCCTGAACCCTAAACCCTGAACCCTAAACCCTGAACCCTGAACCCCGATACCCTGAACCCAGGCTCAAAGACCGGCTGCTGCTGCCCCTGCAAAGCGTCTCCCGGTTTCGGCTGCGCGACCTGCGGCTCAGCGGTGGGGGCTTCGAGGCGCCCCGGGCTTCAGGGTTTAGGGCTTAGGGCTTAGGGTTTAGGGCTTTGGGTTTAGGGCTTAGGGTTCAGGGGGCGGGAGGAGGGGGGGAGTGTTGATTCTTCAAATCCTTGCCAATTTTTCCTGATGTACGACATCGGGTTTCGGAACCTCCCAACCTCCCAGGTGTGGATGCGGAATTTTAGGGTTTTGGGTATTGACGGTATTACGGTATGTAGAGCATTTTGGGTTTCCAAGGTCTGCATTGGTTCTTGGGCTGTCTTAGGCATTAGACTATTGTTTTTTTTTTTGTTTAACGTGTGTTTCGTTCACTAAACTAGCATACTACAGCCGCGAGTATGCCGGATGTTGCTTCCAAAGTGTTCGATCTGCGGGTGCTCAGACACGGTTCCGAATTTTCAACAACGACTTAAGTATACAGCATGGGTTTTGGGTTTAGGGCTTTTTTCGTTGGAAACTTCTCCAGCATGCACAGTCAAGAGAGAAGAGGGCTATGAGGGCCTGGGTGGTCAGGAGGTAACACTCCGGAACTCAAGCTGTTCCGATCATAGCAAACTGCGGAGGATGTACTCTGTCTCCTCTCTCTCTTCTCTCTTCTCTCTTCTCTCTCTCTTCTCTCTCTCTTCTCTCTCTCTCTCTCTCTCTCTCTCCCTCTCTCTCCCTCTCTCTTTCTGTCTCGGAGTCCTGCTAATCGAGGGAATGGTCGTAGGCTGCACAGTAGTCAGGCGGAGCCGTTGAGCGGATGAGCTGCATATAGGTTTCAGAAAAATTGGGCACCTCAGCACTGACCCAAAGTGGCACTCTTGACACATCTACCCCTTGAGACGCAGCCCTCATATTCCAAAAGCTGAGAAATCCTTCAACAGCTCCCTGTCAGCTAGGCATTTATGGCGAAGCTGCCGGACCACACCGAGTCCCATGGCATGCTCAGAACCATCTGAGCTCCAAAAGTCATGTGGGTAGTTCTCTGAATTAGACTCCCTTTTTGGGTCCCCAATATAGTACGGCACCCTTATAGAAAGGACCCCAAATGGGACCCTATATTGTTTTGGGGGGTTCCTTAATATATTTACAGTATGATATACCCCCAAAACACAGAATTTCCAATTATTAAGGCCCCTACAGTACAAGCCTTCAAATCCTAAACCCTAAACCCTAAACCCTAAACCCTAAACCCTAAACCCTAAACCCTAAACCCAAATCCTAAATCCTAATGGAAGGATATCTTCCAGGTGCGAAACCCCTGGTCCGAGGACTCCTGTTTCAGACCAAGAGTGCGTGAGTAGGACGGAGTAGGAGCCCAAGGGTTTAGGGTTTAGGGTTTAGGGTCTAGGGTTTAGGGTTTAGGGTTTAGGGTTTAGGGCTTAGGGTTTAGGATTTAGGGTTTAGGGTTTAGGGGAGATTATCTTGCAGTATCGTTTGTGAATCTGCGAACGAGGATGTTGGACCTTTCGCGCAACGAGGGTGGGCCACGGGGAGCCACGGCAGTCGCAGCAAAGCTGCAGCTTGGGCCGCTCAGTCGCAAACTGGGCTGAGTGGATGCGCGCCAGAAGAATAAGGTTTTGGAGTATAAGTACATACTAAGAATCGTATAGTTAGTATAAAGGAAATGTGAGGATTAGCATGGGTTGTCGCAATGTAAGCCCATGATCTAGGCTGGTGTAACCAAGCATGAGCCTCAAACCTTTAAAGCCCTAACCCTAAACCCTCGACCTAAACTCCTAAATCCATACATCCTCCTAACCAAATCTGCATAGCCACGAATTCGGAAACCCCATGTGTCCTCGGGCTAAAGCTCAGTCAGGAATCTTCACAAAGTAGCGACGTCAGATGTTAAATTCTGGGCCAAAACCCTATTAACTATGAAGGCCCCTACATTACGGATGTTTAAGGTACATGCTGAACTGACTTTCGAGTAAGTGACTGGGGTTTGCGGGTGTAGGCGGTGTAGGCTGATTTCAGGTTGCCACAGCTGCGGTGGCTCGACCTGTCTTTGACTGGGCTCAAGGATGCTGCCGTGACCTGTCCTTCGGCAGCGAAGATTGTAATGCTGAAGCTCTAAGGACTCACGCGTCAGGGTTTTTGGGCCCAAGCTAGTCCATGAAGCCAGGTTTGGGCTTAGGGTACTTGGTTGATTGTGACTGGTGCTGCATGTTCATGGGTCTTTAACGATTGTGATAGTGACAGTACGAGCGACTGCTCATACCATTGTTTAACCGAACTACATCTTCGCAAGTTCACATATATGTATGCGTGTATGCGTGGATGCGTGTTATATATATCTATACACACATGCACGTGCATGTGTACATGCATGTGTATATATATATATATACGCACATGTACATGTGTATATACACATGTTTACGTATACCTATACATGTGTGTGTTTGTGTGTGTTTCTGTATATTTCTGTTGTATATGGATATGCGTGTATACATGTCTCCCGGAGATTACCCATTCTGCCCAAGTTCCTGGTGTTCGGCTGGGATTGAAAACATGAGCACCCTCCATTCAGGGATCCGCTGACTACTGTTATGACTGGAGTCATGGTTTTGAGGCACGTCGTTTTCGGGCGTTCCTTATAATAACTATAGTAAAATATACCCCAAAACGTTCCTTATAAAAACTATAGTAAAAAATACCCCAAAGCCCTATTCTACTTATTAAGGCCCCTACATTACTCCTCACCAAACGTTCACATCGTTGGGGCTCTTAGGGCTCGGTGGTTTCTTTGGTGCCTCGAGGTCTTGAAGTCAGGATATGAGAGAGGGTTTAGGGTTTAGGGTTTAGGGTTTAGGGTTTAGGGTTTAGGGTGTTGTGCCGACAGTCCTGGAGCCGTGAACCCAACGGCCCGAAGGTGCCCAAGCGCTCAACAGATTGGAGCTGACACAGGCCTACCCCCCATAACCAAAACCCTTGTCCAAAAGACACTGATGCCACGAACACCTAAGTTTAAGCCCGAAACCCTTTGTTAAAACAAAGGCTCAATATACCATGAACACCTGCACTTAAACCCTAAGCTAAGACGCCTGAACACCTACACTTAAACCCTAAACCCGAGCTCTAAAGACGCCCGAAAGGCTTAGCCAGCAGCTTGCTGTGCTGCCCCTTGCTGGTTCGACTGGATCCTTCGCTGCGTTTCGCAGATTTCCGAAAGACGCCCGAAATTTCTCGATAGTTAGGACTGTAATGGTTTCCTCTTGCAGCCCCGATACATAATGTACCCCGAAACACGATTCTATTGGTTCAAGCCAATTTCGTCCTAGTATACAACTTTTAAGTTTGGTGGGTTGGGTTGTGTGAGGGTCTAAGGTTTTTCGGTCTTTAGGGTTTTTTTCGTCATATGGGGTTTACGAATTGGGTTCAGGGTCCTACTGACTAATTAAACCGCCTCTATTACCACACTCGATGCTGATTCCATCCTAAACCCACTAGAAGTAAAGGTAAACCCTAAACCCTAAACCGCTTCCAGCACAAACTCCGATCATAAACCCTAAACCCTAAACCCTTAAATTAAGGGTTTAGGGCTTAGGGTTTAGGAGACACGAAGCCACAACACCGACTCGGTGAACTCTGTTTCGAGAGCTCAGGAGTTGAACCACAATCAGATTGCAGAAGGCCCAGAGAGCGGCTCAAGGGGGCTTTGGGGGTTTAGGGGTTTAGGGTTTGTAAGAGTTTAGGGTTTGGGGGTTTATAGGGGTTTAGGGTTCAGGGTTTAGGGTTTATAGGGGTTTAGGGTTTAGGTTTGGGTTTGGGGTTTAGGTTCGTGGGGTATCAGTGCACGCGCGCGAGCCGTCCGCAAACCCTACGTGCACATACGCATACAGGAACCCCAAAGGCCATAAACACGCCACTCTAGTGTAAGGTAAACGATGCCCTGAACCCGCATCCCTCGACCCTAAACCTTAAGCCCTACAGCCCTACACGAGACTATCCTGATTATAAGGAGCCCCTCAGGCCCGAAGTAAAGAGCACATAGGCTTCATCTTAAGAAGCGCCCGGTTGGTCTCTGCGGACGAGCTTGCGATGCGCTGCGTCTGTTTCAATCCAACAGAATTGCGATCAAGTCGAAGGTCCAACCGTCTCACAGTATCTTAAAAAGTATCTTAAAGATAATATTTCCCTACACCCATCCTAAACTCCCAAGTTGGTCGCTCATGGCCTTGATTTGCTTTCAATATTCAACAGTCACTACTCTTCGCTCGTCGAAACGGTTCTCTCGTGGCCTCCTGCAGGCCATGCCTTGGGTCAGCTGCTGGGCAAGCATCCAAGGCTTGCCCGGCTCGCGCTGCACGGCAACTCCCTCTGTGGCCACGCGGGGGCCGCACTGCCCCTTGGCGCCAAGTTTTGCTTTCGGTCTCGGCGATACCGACATTGACATTGTTCTTGTTCGAAGCTGATGGGAGCTGGCCGGATGGCTACAGGGACTCTCTGCGATGCCTGCTCCAAATAGCCTTTAAGCCACACAGCAGCCTCGGAGTTTCTAGTCGTTCCAGCCTTCTTCGCTGATCATCTCCGCCTTACCTCGTGAGACTGTTGGTCTTTCAGTATCAGCCGCGTAGATCCTTGACTGCACACCTTGCCAACTCCGACGTGCAACGTCGTTCAGTCACAACATGTCGCACAGCCAAAGGTTCAATGGTGTCAAGCAGAATGCCAGTGCCTCGCTCTTGAATTTGCTGGGATACACCCATCGCGGCAGAGCCAAGGCAAAGTCCTCATCGGAAAGGCAACAGATAGAGATATGTAAGCTTCCGTACTCACGGAGGCCTCAGTGATTGGGTCTGTACCAGAGTGGTCGCATCAGATGCAAAGCAGCTTTATAATACTTTGTTGGCACGTTGGGTTAGGCGGACACTCCACAACCTGCGAGTCGTTGGTGTGCCACATTTTGAGACAGTCTGCGATGGAGGGTGCTTTCCCCACCAATGCTACGAATGAACTTTTCATCGCAAGGCAAACTTCTGGGGCGTGCAGATTCAAGGGTTTAGCCAATTCAGGGGGAAGGATATCAGCTTCACAGTGGGCTCCAGTGTGATTGGTTTCCTGCCAAGAATGAGGTAATTTAATCTCGAGAGGCTGATGCCCCAGTGTTTAGCTCAGCATTTCTGCTCTCAGCGTTGGTTTTGCCTCCAGTCCTTTCAACTGATACGGGAACCTTAGACATCGCAAGCGGATCCACGCACTGATAGACATTAAGGATTAACGGGCAAGCCCCGTGTTTAGCTGTACCGATTTCAAAGTGGGAAAAGAGACAGTCCGAAGCCTGCTAATTACACCTCCGTCGGCACGACGGAAGAACAGCAATGCTCGTGAGAATGACGGAGTAGAGAGGCGGCGCGCACACTCACACACACACACACACATTCGAGAATTATCTTGAGCACCAAAGCTACTCTACCACCACCCCCTATCGTTATTGTCATCTGTATCATCATCCGCATCATGATGAACACGATCGTCAATCCTCCTCTTTCGACTTCAGGCAAAGGTGGGCAGATCGCAGACCTGGATTTAGCATGGATGCTCGGCTGCACTGCGACAGCCTCCGGCCAAATGTCTCGGTCACACGCCCTAGCATCTTGCAGCACCGTGACTTCCTACATGGGACCTACATACATGGGGTGCGGCGTAGTCTACAATAACCTTCAAAACCTGCAATTTCCCATACCCGTAAGCCCAGAAGTCGAATGTAAAAGAATCCCAAACCCTGCGACCCTGAAGCCTTAATCTTTGGACCCCTAAAGTGCATCAAACCCGAGGCCTTCCAAAAACCCACCTGCTGAGATGAGCTTTTCAAAAGACTCCCAAACCCTTAGAAAATTCTGCACCCTACAACACCCTATGAAACCCTTACTAAAGCCTGAAACAAAAACTCTATAGAACCCTAGGCCTATAACGCCCTACGACACCCTTATTAAGGCCTATAGAAAGCCCTATGTAATTCTAGAACCCTAGCTATTCCGATGTGAAGGTTTCCGAAAATAGGGGACCCTAATAGAGTACCCTTAATAATGGGATCCTTATTATCAGGACCCCAAAAGAATGTACCCCTAATTTTCGGAAAGTCCCATGTGAACCCTAAACCCTAAACCCTAAACCCTAAACCCTAAACCCTAAACCGGGTTCTGGAGCCCCTGGCTTCGGAGGAATCACCTCGGTGATGCCGGCGCTGTCTCTGGGGCGGAGGCGCTGGCCGAGGCGTTGCGGGTGTCTGCCGCCAGCCCTGCACTTTCAGAGCTCACCCTAACCCCCCAGGTACCTACTATATAGGGTCCTAGGGGCTCTAGTACCCTATATAGTAGGTACCTGGGGGGTTAGGGTCAGGTTTTTTCAATTTTTCTGGGCTTCGGATTTTAGGGATTTGGGGTTTTGGGTTAAGGGTTCAAAGATTTGGGGAAGAGCTGCGCTGTTTCAGCAGTCTTGGGTTGTTTCAAGTGCTGCAGAGCCCCGTCGCAGCGTGAATGTCAATGAGGATCGGAGGCCCGCAGATTCTAGGTGATATGCTTTAGAGTATGGGAGGTTTCCTGTTTTCTGTGCGAGGCCTTCGGAAATGCCGAGTTCGCTCTCACTTCGCAACATTGCAAGACCCTCTACAAGAGTTTAGGGTGTGGGGTCTCGAATCTATCCCTAAACACTAAAACCCTAAAGCCCTCAAAGCCCTAAAGCCCTAAAACCCTAAGCCCTAAGCCCTAAACCCTAAAACCCTAAACCCTAGAACCCTAAAAGCCCTAAACCCCCAAACCCTATCGGAAGAGAAGTTCTCAAGGTGACCCTCTATCACCTGGACCTGAGCTACAACAACCTGGGAGCTGCCAGTTGCCAGGCCCGGGGGGCCTCGGGAGTCCAGCGCTGGAAAGAACTTTGAGACTCGAAAACCCTGCAATTAAGGGTTTAGGGTTTAGGGTTTAGGGTTTAGGGTTTAGGGTTTAGGGTCCATAAACTACAAGGGCCCGGGGTTTTTTTTTTTCGAAGGTGCGGCCAACCCTTGTTTGCGAGGTGCGGCCAAGGGTCCCTGGTGCATGCGGTCCCCTAGACCTCTGGTCCTTGGTCCTGTGGCCCCCTGGT